ATCTCAAATTTACTGAGGCTTTTGGCACTGGCTCCCATAACATCCTTATGAAGTACAGGCTAGGTAAGTGTTCAGTGAGTTGGACTGAAAACTGGATGAACTGCTTAGTCTTACACAGTTGTGCATAAAATCCAGCTGGAGGCTGATCACTAGTGCCCCAGAGTCAATGGTCCAAAACTGTCCCACATCTTTATTACTGACATGGATGATGGGACAGAGTGTACCCTCACCAATTCTGCAGGCAATAAAAAATTGGGAGAAGCAGCTGATACACCAGAGGATTGTGCTGCCATTCAGAGGGAACTCAACGAACTTGAGAAATGGGTAAACAGGAACTTCATGAGGTTTGACAAGGTGGAATGCAAAGTCCTGCACCTGGGGAAGAACGATCCCAGGAACCAGTACAAACTGGGGGCTGGACAGCTGGAAAGCAGCTTTGTAGGAAAGGACTTGAGGGTACTGGAGAACAAGCTGACTGTGAGACAGCAGTATGCTCTCATGGCAAAAAAAAGGCCAACAGCCTCCCGGGCTGCCTTAGGCAAAGCAGTTCCAGTAGATCAGGAGAGGTGATCCTTCACCTTTGCTCAGCTCTGGTGAGGCACAGACACATCAGCAGTGATGTGTTCAGTTCTGTCTCCCATGTCTCTCAGTGCAGAAAACATGGACATACTGGAATGAGTTCAGTATATAAATGGACATGGACATAGACATGCTGGAGTGAGTTCACTGGAGGGCCAACAAAGTATTTAAAGGATAGAAACATCTTGACATACAAGCAGGGGCCGAGAGAGCTGGTGTTGTTCAGCCAGGAGAAGGCTTAGAGGGATCTTATAAATGTATATAAATCCCTGATGGGGCGGCTGTAGGGGTGCCAGACTCCTCTCAGTGATGTGGTGTCCAGTGACAGGACAAGAGCCAGTGGGTACTAATTGAAACACAAAGAATTTCATCTAAATATGAGAAAATATTTTTCTACTGTTTGAATATTGAGCACTGGCACAGGTTGACCAGAGGTTGTGGATTCTCCTTTCTTGGAGGTATTCAAAATCCAGCTAGACACAATAGTGAGCAACCTGCTCTAGCTAACTCTGCTTTGAGGAAGGGGGTTAGGCAAGACGATCTCCAGAGAGAGAGGCCATTCAACCTCAACTATTATGCAGCTCTGAAGCACATGAAAGTGAAATAATAGCCCACTAAACAAACTGAATTAAATGCATAAGCTCTCTTGTAGATTTTCAAACTCCTAATTTTAGCCTGACAAAGTAAGTAACACTGAAGAATATGGCCCCAAACTGAGAAAACATAAGCAAGGGACATACATATTAGATAACCTCAATGTACTTGGAAGCAGCATAGTAGACTGAAGTTTTTGTAGCTAGGCCATGTGAAACAATGAAGAGCATAAAGGAGAGTACTGGAGTAAACTAAAGCAGTTCACAAGGGCAACCAAGGAGTTTGGACTGAACTGTGAAGTTTTTGCTCATATTAATGTAGATTTATTATACCACGTGTGTACCTGAAGCACCCTTCAGGTCACACGTCATTCCTCAGTATGGTCTATGCAACAAATTCACATTCTCATTTAACAGTTGTTTGAGTTGTCTTTCGCTTCTTTTTTTGGCACAAGGTGTATATACCGACAGTATCTCAGAGCTGCAGTCACCCCTGGTCCAAGTCTAGCTCTAGTAAGTACATTGCCTCATCATAAACCTTTCTGTGCTGCTGGTTCCCCAATCCCATGTGCAGAAAGGGAAATGCTCCCTGAAACAGATCTTAAAAGACTAAGAGATGGATGTGCCACTGCAAGAGAACCTGCCTTGACAAAGAGCTACTTAGGGACTGAACAGTGGGACAGATATTGTGGAGCCCTCTCACCAGCCTCCTGACTTGACACGCAGCTTCACTGCAGAGCAGACAGGCTCAAGCCTAAGCTCAAACAGAGCTGTGATTTTAACCCAAAAATCTGACTGTGCAAACAACTTCAACTTCTAAACCCAAGTACACATACTCTTGTTAGTCCTTCAGAGATTCAGAGGCACTGGAGAAAACTGTACGAAGAAGTGGACATTAGGACTGCAACACAAACAAATGTGAGTGGTAAGGACGAAACACAAAGCATTGCGCTCAGACACATTTTGTTTGGCGGTCTGCAGTGTATTCTTTTGACAATACTGTACACAGAAACACAAGGTTTCTTCTTGTTTCCTTGCATCTTCTTCAGCAGTAGTTAACAGTAGTTACAGCTAATCAGGCTGTACATTGGTGCCAGGATTTACCCTGAAGTCGCAAAGGTAGTTAAAAACAGATATTGAAAAGCAGAGCACATGCTATTTCTGGTTTACTGCTGGTGTTAGATGACCACTGCTGTTAAAGGAACATGCATATCTATATACCTAAATAAAAAATGTGTTCGAGGAAAACCAGCAAATGCTTTATGATCAAAGAGAACAAAAGTTAGCGAAGGTGATAACTGTAGTGAAAGGTTTCTGGAAGTAGATACTACCTTACTGTTTCATCCATGTTGTGTTTCACTAAACTTCGCTTAGGCTTTAGAAAGAGCTAAGAACCACACGGAAACCATAGTGGTCTTCAAGATGTGAGAGGTTCCAGATATGCACAGACAGCCAGGGGTTTACCCAGTAGATCACTGGGACAGCAGTTTTTCCTTTCCTCATCCCCTCTCTGTTTCACTCAACTCTCAACAAGATATTTCCTGTTATTTGCCCCTTTGCACTCCTGCTCCTCTCAAATTGTAACATCATTCATCTTCTGTGAAGACACTTCTCCCTCACTTAAATTTCTGGCAGCCAATTTAACTCACTGTTGTTGAACCAACTTAAAGGGGACTACAAGATCTTAAGCCAGATGAGTATCTTATCCTGTATAAAAAATTTTAAATTCAGAATTGAAAATAAACAGAGTCCTTCCATGAGAGGTATTCCATAGGATCAGCCCAGTTCAAATCTTTTTACTGAAGTAATGAAAGGACAAATCAAATATGCGGTGCCTCTGCATTTGTGTCCCATATTATAGACTTCAAAAGGAAATTGATTTCTGTTCTGAAACGTTCTTCCATTTCTTGGAAGTTCAAAGGAACTTTATACAGAATGGGACATCACCAGCTTCATTAGAATCCATTTAAATGGGAATGTCCACTATTTGTCCCAAAATCAACCTTTTACAACTTTATTTAGATACATCCTTAGCATATTAAGACAATGAACTATTCCTAAAAAATTAGATGTTCTTAAGTTAACTGCAGAGAGACAAAGCAGGTGAGGAATTCAAGAAGGGCAAGGCAGTGGCATGCAGGAAAAGCCCAAGACTGGATAAACAAAGTACAGCACCTGATCCACCTCTTGAAACTGGGACAAATGTCTTTTTTATCACAATACACTCTTCCTCAGAAAAGGGCAATGGCATCAACAGAGCTGATTTTGTCACAGAGAAAATGTGCAGAATTAGGTCTCCTATCAACAACTCATGACCCTGCCAATGGAGCCTCAAGTTGTGTTTTAAAAATACAAGTGCCCCCCTTTCTGGCCAATAAAGACTCCCAAAAGTGACTTTGGAAGATATTTCGGACTAATTTTAAAATGCAGTTTAGTTTATGAAAGTTAATTATACTTGTTCTAAGACATAAAACCTCAGTCAAACACAGAACTTCCATTAAATTTCAAAATATTTCCACACTCATTTAAAAAAGTGAAGGTTTTCCTTTGCTTATGCAACGCCATATTCTGAGCTAAATATATCTCTCAATCAATCTCTCAAGATAACGAGAAATTTGTAACAACTCTGAGTGTTATTTTGTGTCACAGGACCAGGCTTCCCGTAAGTGTTCAGACCTGCAAGGGCTTACTTTGTGAGGAGTGGTGCCAGCTCAGGTAGCTGAAAGTGATACAGTGACATCTGTGCCATGCTCAGCCAAGGCAAGGGAATTGCTGTTAGACCCAAACCAGGATGCTTTAGGTGGACTAAAGCCCTCACCTGCCTAACTGTCAGGTTGATGGTTCATCTAGGTGATCAGTTCACAGATAGCAGTGATGTATGACACCAGTGCATCGATTTATAGCTTGGAAGGAAGGCTACTGAAGGAAGAGTAACTGCTGGAATACGAATATTTTAATGACGGCTTTTTAAGTGACTTTTCAAATTAAATCTCATGAACAATCCAGATACTCATTTGTATGCCATCTGGATAACAGCATTCAGCAAGAGGACAAGAAGCCAAAAAATGACAAGCAAACTCCCTGCTTCTGCATGAGTCAGGTCCTTTCCATCTGCAAGGACACATAATTGTGGAAAGCAAACTGTGGGTTTTCTCCTCTTTTACTGGTTAGAAATTTTTTTTAAGTTTAATTCCTGTATCCTTTTCCTAATGTTGAAAGGATAAATTAAAATATATAAAGTTATTTTTTTCTCTAAGTAATTACTCCTAACTTACACAGTAATAAAGAGAAGATGGAAAACGCTTCTATCAAGCAGTGTCACAGTTTGGTGCAGCTTCAATGAAAATTCATGGCAGAAATAACCTAAACAACACTGAAATACAATGCTTAGATGTGTTTTTCTGGTATTTTGCATCAATAGTTTTCTGCCTTTTGAAAAGGAATACTAGCAATTAGGAGAAACATTATTTTTGTTTGTTTGGTTGGTTGGTTTTTGTTTGTTTTTGAAATTAAAAAAAAAAGCATAATTCTGTGCTACAATATTTGGTGCCAGTGAACAAGTTATCTCTGGGCTTTGTTCTCATCACCAACATATTGAGAAGTAGATGAAATAAATTGCTTAAATGGCAAATCTTAGGTTTAAATCAAAATTATGGCCACTTTTGTTAATTCAGCATATCTGCAGAGCCAGCCAGAAGTCTGATGCATGCTCCTTAGCACATCTGCATTGTTAATTTTAGCATAGTTCTATGAATTTCTACCTTCTAATTGCTATACCTCTTCTACATGAAAAATTAAGTAACAAAAAGTATGAATGTTTCTAAATACCTGATTAATTATCTGGTGTTGCAGCTTTTTTCAGACTCTGAAAGAGAAAGAAAAGAATTAGTTTGTACATATTTTAATGAAGGTGGTAGTGGACATGCCACAATCAATATACATGCCACAGAACAATAAACAGTGAATTAATCAAAAAAATAATCAAACCTCATAATTAAGAAACAGAATTTAACATGTAGAAATTACTTGAAACTTCAAAATGGAAATCTACCTAAAATAAAAGAAACACAAGCCCCTCTTAATCAAGATATGATAAAAAGACAACTGATAGAGGGTAGCCAATCTTGCTAAGCTGGAACCCCAGAGAAATCACAACATTTAAAGGGGAGGCAACAATTTTCAAATATGTGCTTTGAAGCATCTTAGTGTTGTGAGATGTACTATGTGCTGGAGAAACTGGTAATATTCAGCTCAAGATTTGACCACTGGAAGAGGAAAGCAACTTCTGCTATTACCTTAAAATAAAACTACGTGTCTGTGCCAAGACTGATATTTGGCACCAGCTGGCTCAAGTGAGAAATTCTATCCTGGTAATATCCACAAAGCAGCAAGTTGAGTTATGGTCTTGTTTCCTTGTTCTGGTCTTCTTCTGCAGCATCCTTCAGTGTGCTCCTGGAGATATAATCAGAGCCCAGACAACACACTGCTTTCTACAGCTGTCTGGGACCCTAGCAGCAAGGATACCTCAAAACTATTCTTTCCCTTTTGGCCAATTTTGCCTCATTTACTGTTCCCTTGCACTAGTTGTCAAAAGGGCAGCTGGTATCAATTACCCTCCCTTTGCTACTGGAGACCATCCACACGTATTGGGGAAAGTCAGGAATTTCACACTTGCCTATCCAGCTAGGCTACGTGCACCCAGAGGGTTTTTAAAAATAATAGTGATAGGAGACACGACTTACAACCTGTCAGTATCACTACTAACTGTCAGGGGAGACTGCCTAGCACGGGTGGCTGCTGCCTCCTGCACTGGAAATGGTACTCCCTTTCAACAGAACTTTTCCGTACTAATATGTGTGGCACAAATAGAATTTTTAAAATGAGGTGTAAATATTTAAGGTGTTAAAATACAGCATAAAGACTCTATTTAAAGGAAAACGATCTTCCCTACTCATCCCCGAGACTATTCCTCTTTTCAATGAAAGCATTATAGATAATTCAGATAAAGATAATTACTTTAGGCTATATTATAAGATTGTCTCTTATGATAATTACTTCCTGCATGCTTGTGTTGTGTTTTTATTTGCTAAATATAAAAATTATCTTTTTTTCGCTAAAAACCCTCTACACAACTATCATTTAGGGGAGACTTCTTAAAATGTATTCCCTTGTTCACTGAGTTCATCTTTGGGAGAAATAACATTTATTCTTGTAACTAATATTTTAACCAAATAGATTGTTGGTAATAGAAGATTAAAGGAGTATGTGTTTTTAGCATTCTCTAATGATATACAAGTTGCTAGAAAAGCAGAGTGTTTGAAATCTCTGGTTAGATCAACACTATTTTGCTCAAAGGTTTGTGGACTTTGAATACTGATGCTTTCCTGTTTCCCAGTACATTTGTTTTTAGGCTATTTTGATTCACTTTAAAGGAATTTTAATAACTTTCTGTTGACAGCATGGACAGCTGGTCTTGAGAATTAGTGAAAATTCACTTGCTGACTGAGGAAGGAAGTGACATCAATGAGTTTCTAAAGTCAGCCCCGAGGGAAAAGTGTGCTCTGCCAGAGTAGCCTTTCATGCCATTGTGTTTCCAGTGATGCCTTGAGATGCAAATTGCATTATCAATCAAACTTGTGGTTTCTACCTCAGACAAATATAAAAAAAGAACAGAAAGACTGTGAAAGACCTTTGCTGCCATTCCTGACACTGCTAAGAAAAAGGTGAAGAGGAATTTATGGTGGTTCTTTCCTTGTTCTCTCTTTGTTTGGTGATTTAAATGTAAGTATCAAGGAAAGGGCAGTTGCAGAAGTGTCTGTATGATACGACAGCAATGGTGACATGGGTTAAACAGGACAGAGATTGACTAGGCTGTTAAGGGTAGCAGAGAGATCAAATTCAAGGTCACCGGCAAATTGAATACTGTGTTCTCCATTTATTCGCTAGATGATCCTTGTCCTCATCACAGAACAACTATGTGAATTTGGCATAGTCAGCACTTGTGCTCAGAAGGGACCAAGGTCTGTAATAACAGACATGCTGCAAATTAGGGTGGAAATACACTGGTACCATTATATGGGGAAGCCTGCAAAATCCTGGCCTGCACTGTACTATTGTTTTGGAGAAACATCACGAAAAGCAGTGAAAAAACATGAACAATATCTACAGAGCTGAAGGGGAATCAGTTTCCAGCAGCCAGTGACTAACAGTAGGGTAGGAGAAAGCCATGGAAACTAGGCAGAATTTTGCTTGTCCTGTTTTGTTTTGGTCTTTGTTTGCTTGTTTTTGTTTTGTTTGGGGTTTGTTTGTTTGTTTTTAAATCCCTAGAATTCTCTTACAATGACTCTGATCCTCTCAGTTTCCAGGAGGATGTTTCTATCTAGGTGCCTTGTGATCTCTTGTGGTGACCATCAACATTCATCAGAGGGATTCAAGAAATTTCACTGAAGAAAGTGCTCCAGATTCAAAGGACATGAGGCAATGGGACACTGATGAAACAAGAACATGTCAGCCAGTCCTACAGGTAACACCTGTGTCTGTCCCATGAAACGCAGGTAATACTTCACACTTGCAAGAAGTTTCATTTCTGGCAGATGTACATAACCTAAATTTAAAACTTATGACAGTTTTCCTGAGCCACTGCAATGAGGTAGCTGCTTTTTCAAGAACATCAAACTAACCAGGAAATATTCTGCCATCTGAAAACTTACTTGGAAGCTGCCCAGTAGGGAGCTGGTGTAGTCAAAAACATACCTTCCACAACTCAGACTGCTTGTGAATGGCTTGCTCTTCTCCCTTATTTCTTCTGAAACTCATTTTTCTACCTGTGCTCTGGCAAACTGTTCCTAAATGGCTCAACAGTACCACCTGACCAGCCTTAAAAACACAAGCAAATCAAAAGGCCTTAATAATAGACAACTACATTTACTTGATACTTTGTGAGTTAGAAGTTGTATTTACCAGTATAAACTACAATTCTTATTTGCTGAGGCTGTGCTTTCGTGCCACTGTAACTGAAGCTAAACTGGATTCCAATTATATTTTTGCGTCAGGACTGGAGAAACATATCTCTCTCAACTAATTTTTACTGATTTTTTTTGTCTCTCTGCTTGCAAAAAGTGTAATGGATGGTTGACAGGTTGAGACAAATGGCCTTCTTGGGTTGACCTCAAGCTATATCACTTTAGAAAAAAAATATTACAACAAACATTGTTTAAAAAATTTCTCTGTATTTTCATTCACTAATTAGTATACTAATTCCTGTTTCCAGGGCAAGTTGGGTTTTTCAATTTTTTTTTTCTGTTGCTTGTCCTTATTATAAGATCATCTTACTGAGAGCAATAATGTATGTTTTCTAATGTAACTGACAACTGCAAGAAATGAGAGTGTGCCTTAATTGCTGCTGTCACCAGGAATGGCAACACTGACTCCTCAGCCTTGTGCACACAACCTACACAGGTAACAACATGTAATTATGCACACTATGCCCTGCTTACCTCCATACAAAGGAATGTGATATTTGTGCAGGTTTACAGATTAATCTTCTGTAATTCCCTTTAATGTAAAACTACTTCCAGCTCAAACATAATTAAGATCACCAGGTACAAAAGATTCAGACTGGAAATATGAGTACACTCCAACAGAACAAATAACAGCTTGATGCTGTTTCTTATGTTCAATAGCTGGATACATTAAGGATTTTGACAGCATGTTTGTTCCCTGACTATGTAGATGAAAAAACAAAGGTTTCATTTCAAAAGGTAAAACGCTACTACTGTATTTAATTAGAGAGCAAAATCCCTTAAATATACAGATCTGCCAATTTATGTCATGTGACTGCTACAAGACCTAGCAACAAAGGATTTTAGTTTTTTTCCTTCCAAAAATCAAATCCCAACTTATACTTCAAGTAATGTCAATAAAATAAAGCCTTTAGAGTAAAAACTTTACTTCCTTTAAGTCTTCAGATAATTCTACTACTATTTGTGGCATGGCAGCCAGGCGAGGGATGAACAAAAATTTTGGGTCTGTCTCCCTGTTTTCAGGTATCTGAGGGTTTCCAAGCAGGTTGAGAAAATTGTGAAGATCTCAGGGGGCAAAGGGGGCCCTCAGCCTTGCTCTGAAACAGTCACATGCACAGTCTGACACAGACATCACTTAACTTCAAATGGGAATGGTACTACTAAGAAATCAGTTGTGAAGAGGGAATTCTGTGTTCTAAGACCAATTTAATTTTGTTTTTCCAGTTTGTGAGAGAAACACACACTGACAGGTTTGTATTTTACTTTATGTTTATAGACTTAAATAAACACATATGCAGCCTATTCAGTTATGATCCACTCCACTTTCATTACTGGTGTCCTAATCTACCAGAGCAGATTTTGAGAAGTAAAAGGAAACCAAAGCACTCATTTGTGATAAACTTCTGCAGCAATTTCCCATGGCACTAGGGTCTGAGGAAGAAACACTCAGATTTGTTTTTCAGACTTACAACAGCCACGGTGTGACACTAACAGATTATCTTCTATGAAAGCCTGAAACTTGGCATACAAAGATTAAAATATTTAGGACAGAACCATACATTTCCTATAAATTATTGGCAGAATCTCAGAGGTCTTTAAGCAACAGAGCTCTTGTAGATCTTCATAGCATTTACTTCTTCTTGTAACAAGGAATTCAGTGAACTGAAAGTGCTCATTTATAGCATTGCCTTCAAAACCTAGTTTAGCTTACTTTTGTACCTCTGTGATAATTATGCAACTGAATATGCTTACAGCAGCCCAAAATATATTAATCACATCTTCTTGGTATTGCATAATCCTTCTTAGTTGTCACAATGCCAACTCATAAGTT